TTTTCCCTGTATTTTAGGGGTTTTTTCAAAGGTTTCTCTTTAGGTTTCCACATCAATTTTCCATGGATTCCATGGAAAACCACGGTGGCTCCATCCTCAATAATTCCATTTTTTAATTGGAAAACTCCTTTCCCTTTTTCCCCCGTTATTTTATGTTAAAATCAGAGAACACCACCCGATTTTAGTCACAAACACCTGGGTTTGGACAGTTAAAATTCCCTTTTTTTTTTAAGGAATTCACATTCCAAAGGCTTGGAGTGACATCTAGCGACTGCCTGGGACAGAGAGGAAAATCTGGGAATAAATTCCAAAAGGAAACTTTGCTCCAACAGCAAAACCCCAAAGTTATCCCGAATTATTTACGGGGAAAAAATCAGATTATTTTCATTTTCGAGGGAAGTTCGAGTTCTTTGTTTGAGGGTGGAATGTTTGAAATTTGGAGGAAAAGTGATTTTAAAAATATTGGAATGCTGGGGATTAAAGATTCCAAGGAAATCAAGGGGGAAAAAATCCTTTTAAAATCATTTGGCCTCATCCTCACTTGATTTTGCTTCCCAGGTGGAATTTTCTGGGGAAAATAAAGGGGGAAAGTGGATAAAATAATGGGAAAATTGATGTTATCCTGAGAATAAATGGATTTATTTGTCATTTTTCTGGGAAAAAAGGGTAAAGGTGGATAAAATAATGGGAAAATTGATTTTATTCTGGGAATAAATGGATTTATTTGGTATTTTTCTGGGAAAAAAGGGTCAGATGGATAAAATAATAGGAAAATTTATGTTTTATGGGAATAAATTGATTTATTTGTAATTTTTCTGGGAAAAAAGGGTAAAGGTGGATAAAATAATAGGAAAATTGATGTTATCCTGGGAATAAATGGATTTATTTGTAATTTTTTTCTGAGGAAATAAAGAGAATACACCGGCAAGAATTATAAATAAATATAATTATAAATAAATATTCACATTACAGGTAATTCATCACGATACAGACAACACTGATGAACCTCAGGTGGCAAATGGATGTTTAAAAAACTGGAATTTGCTGACACCTTGGAAAATTCCTGCTTTGGAATAGGATATTTGGGGAAAAAAATACTCCCTGGTAATCCCTACGCATGCATTATAATAATAATTATAATTATTGTAATAATAATTATAATAATTGAGTTGAACATGCTAAAATAATTGAGTTTTTGCAGGATTTTAGATTTGTTTCAGGAATAAAGCCTTGAAATTTTCAAAATAAAAACTTCTGAAGATTTTTGATCTTCAGCAATTAATTAATTAAAACAAGTATAACAAAAAAATTAAATTACGTTGTAACTGATGCCTTTGGTATTCCTGATTCCTAAAATTCCTAATTTTGCTAAGCAAAGAGAAATTGGCACTTTTTTAATTTTCAATTTTTCTGTGCCCTTTGTTTCTTCCAGCCAGAGTTGGGAAGGAGGGAATGGAATGGGAATGAAAGTGCAGAGTGCAACGAACACCAAAAACAAAAACCTCACCAAAAAGACGTTGAAAAAAGGAGATTTTTACATTTCCCAAGTAAAAACTGCCAGAGCTGCAGCTGGCACAGGGGACTGGGAAAATCCTGGAGCAGCTGCCAGTGGAAAATGTTGGAATTCCAGGTTTGGAGTTGAAGAAATCGTGTCCGAGTCCTGTGTGAGCTGATTGTTTGGGTGTGGGCAGGACCGAGGGAAAAACCCCAAATTTTGGACGTGTCACTGATAATTAAATTCAATTTTAATTCCTCTACAAGGGATTTTTGGAGAGGGGGAGGGAATTCCCTAAGCTTTGAGCACTAAATGTGATTTTTTGATGTGCTGAAAAGAGGAATAAAGTTCTCCAAGTTGAATTTTTAGGGTGGGGGGAACCTTTTTCTCTTGACCACACAAATTTCACTTTTATACCTTAAATCCCCACCTTTGGGCAAATGGTTTTTGAACTCCCACTCACCAATTCTTGCTCATTTGTATAAAAAATAAATCTAAATTTGAAGGCTTGGTGCAGCCAGGGAGTTCTTGAGTGAGTGTTGGAGGGAAATGAGCTCAAAACAACACCTGGAGGCTTTGCAAAGCCAAAAAATCTTCTCCCAAAATCAGAATAAATTGAATTTCTGCCAAAACTCAGCCACCTCCCTTTGGAGCTGCCAGGTGATTTATGTACATTGCCTTTCAGAGAGCAAAAAAAAAAAAGACAAATGAACAGATTTAATGATTGCATTCTCTGCCAGAATGCCCTCCCAGGAAAAGCTGATCCCTTTTCCTACCCTCTGGAATAATCTGGTCCCAATTTGGGCTCTTCCCTCCGTGCCAAGCTGGCATTTCCTTGCCAAGCAATAAGCAGCAGCCTCATTTTAGTCTTATCAGCATCAAAACTTAGCATGACCTTTAGCAAATCAACCTCAGAATCTGTTCCAACTTTTCATTCCAGTTCTCTCCCCCCGAATTTCTCTACTTTTTGTGTTTTGACACCTTTTATTTGCCTTCAGTGCTGGCATTTGACCTCTGGCTGTGCCTGCTGGCACCTGTTTTATTTTATTTTTTAAGCATCTCTAACCATGCCACGTCAGCAGCTCTCAGGGAGTCTCAGGGTGACAGAACGAGTCGTGCAAAATCTTTTTAAGAGTAATTAACCCCTGACTCCAATTAACTGCTCTTCCCTAAATCCAGGCAGGCCTGCATCCCAAGGCCTTTGGGATCGGTGCCTGAGGGGAACAATTTGTTCCCAGTGTTCTGAGGGAGAAACTGAGGCAAGAATTCCATTTTATCAGCTCTTCCCACTCAGTTCTGCTGGAATTATGGATCCACAGCACCAGGCTGGGATTTGGGAAGTCCGTCCTTGGATATGGAGTCAGAGATTGCAGGATTCTGCTTTTCCCTAAATCCAGCCAGGCCTGCATCCCAAAGCCTTTTGGCCCAATGTTCTGAGGGAGAAACCGAGGCAAGAATTCCATTTGAATGGGATTCTCCCCGTGTAACAGCAAGCAGAGTCCACCATCCTGAGGCTTCCTGCCGAGGCTTTCAGGGGATGCCATCCTTCCTCTGGCAGCACTGCGAGGGAGGCACTCCCCAGTCGTACATGTAGGAAAGCCTGAGTTTCACCTCCTCCTTACAGAGCTTCCCTTCCTTGGCCAGCGTCTGGTGCTTCTCCAGCATGTCCTCGATGCTCTGCTTGTGAGTCACGATGTATTTGTTGCTGCAGCCGCGCGATTTGTACTCGGTGTCGAAGCGGGGGTCGTGCACTCTCTTCACGTCGATGGGCGCCAGCCACACCCCCAGGGACACGTCCTCGCTCTGCCACAGGTTCAGGTAGTCCCTGCTGAGGCGCAGGTAGCGCACCAGGTCGGCGGAGATCACGTAGCCGCCTCCCAGCGCGTAGGGCAGGTAATAATCACACAGCAGCCAGGCGCTCTCCTTCCACTTCCCCCCGGATTTCACCCGCCCGCGGCCCGAGAAGAAGCCCCAGTAGAGGCGCCGCGGCTCCTTGGCCCTCAGCTCCTCCACCAGCACGTCCAAGCGCACGAAGGTGTCGTCGTCCGCCTTGAGGGCGAACTGGAAGTCCAGGTGCGCATCCAGCCACACGTAGGTCGCCAGCACCTTGGCCGTGAGGTTCTCGTAGGAGTCGCGCAGCTCCGGCAGCAGCAGCAGGTCGCGGTGGCGGCTCTGCTCCAGCTCCAGGCTCCGCAGCTCCTCGGCGCTCAGCCCCGCCGTGCCCACCACGAAGCGGCTCCAGACGTGGCCGTGAGGCGCCTGCCGCGCCGCCGCCATCCAGGTGCTGCGGATGATGCTGCGCCGCTCGCTGTACTTGGGGCCGCTCATCACCACCACGGCCACGAAGGCGCTGCCCTCAGGGCCGGCCGGGGGCGCGGCGCGGGCCCCCCGCCCGGGCTGGCTGTGCGGGAGCGCGGGGGGCGCGGGCAGCGGGCGCAGCCCCTCGGAGGTGCACTTGGCGAGGTAGAGCAGGACGGCGGCGCAGAGCGAGAGCCCGCCGAGCCCCAGCGCGGTGCGGTGCCGGCTCAGCCGCCGCAGCGCCTTCATGGCCGCGGGGCCCCTCACGGCCGGCGCCGCCGCCACGCCCGCCGCGTTTAGGCGGGAACGGCGGTACGGCCAGCAGGAGGGGACAAGCTTTCTACGGGAGCGCTCACCGCGCGCCGCTGCCGCGCTGCGGTGGTTTCATGGCTCTGCCCGCGCTTTCCGCCTTCTCCGCGGGGAAGCGGCGGTTCCGTCCGTGTTCCTGCCGCGGCTCCGGCCGTTCTCGCACCGGGGGAAGGGGCGGGAGGAGGGGCGGAGGCCGCAGAGCCTGACGCGGCGGCTGCCATCTTTGAGTAGGGCATGTGAATCCGAAGAGGAGCCATCTTGGGTTTGGGCTCTGCGCCTTGGCCGTGCCCTGTTCATGGAATCATGGAATAGTTGGGATGGACTCAAAGCCCATGCAGTGCCACCCCCCGCCATGGGCAGGGATACCTTCTACTATCCCCGGCCGCTCAAAGCCTCAAGTCCAACCTGGCCTCGGGCAAGGGATTTGCATTAGATGCTATTTAAGGCCCTTTCCAACCCAAACCATTCCATAATTCAATGAAAACAGCCACACACACACACACAGCCAGGAAGTAGGACACCAACACGTTAACCACGGAGATAACGACGGGACCGCCAGGAAAACGCCCCTTTGCCCCTCTCTGCCGGAAATGGCGGCTGCCCTCACCTAAGATGGCCGCCGCGCCTTCCCGCGGCGCGGCGCAGTGACAAAACATCCGCCTCCTCCCCGCCTCCCTCCGCCCTGGCAACGCCGGGCTCCGTGAGGGCCGTGAGGGGCTCTCAGCGGCGGCCGGGCCCGGGCTGAGCCTCCCCGCGGCCGTCACGGCGCTCGGGGCAGTGTCCGCTCCCTGCCGGGCGGCTCCCGGTGAGTGCGGGCGGCTCCTCCCGCAGCCCCGCGGGGATCGTGGAGGGCTCCGAGGGGTTCTGAGGGCCCTGAGTGCTCCGAGGGGTTGAACAATTTGTTCCCAGTGTTCTGAGGGAGAAACTGAGGCAAGAATTCCATTTTATCAGCTCTTCCCACTCAGTTCTGCTGGAATTATGGATCCACAGCACCAGGCTGGGATTTGGGAAGTCCGTCCTTGGATATGGAGTCAGAGATTGCAGGATTCTGCTTTTCCCTAAATCCAGCCAGGCCTGCATCCCAAAGCCTTTTGGCCCAATGTTCTGAGGGAGAAACCGAGGCAAGAATTCCATTTGAATGGGATTCTCCCCGTGTAACAGCAAGCAGAGTCCACCATCCTGAGGCTTCCTGCCGAGGCTTTCAGGGGATGCCATCCTTCCTCTGGCAGCACTGCGAGGGAGGCACTCCCCAGTCGTACATGTAGGAAAGCCTGAGTTTCACCTCCTCCTTACAGAGCTTCCCTTCCTTGGCCAGCGTCTGGTGCTTCTCCAGCATGTCCTCGATGCTCTGCTTGTGAGTCACGATGTATTTGTTGCTGCAGCCGCGCGATTTGTACTCGGTGTCGAAGCGGGGGTCGTGCACTCTCTTCACGTCGATGGGCGCCAGCCACACCCCCAGGGACACGTCCTCGCTCTGCCACAGGTTCAGGTAGTCCCTGCTGAGGCGCAGGTAGCGCACCAGGTCGGCGGAGATCACGTAGCCGCCTCCCAGCGCGTAGGGCAGGTAATAATCACACAGCAGCCAGGCGCTCTCCTTCCACTTCCCCCCGGATTTCACCCGCCCGCGGCCCGAGAAGAAGCCCCAGTAGAGGCGCCGCGGCTCCTTGGCCCTCAGCTCCTCCACCAGCACGTCCAAGCGCACGAAGGTGTCGTCGTCCGCCTTGAGGGCGAACTGGAAGTCCAGGTGCGCATCCAGCCACACGTAGGTCGCCAGCACCTTGGCCGTGAGGTTCTCGTAGGAGTCGCGCAGCTCCGGCAGCAGCAGCAGGTCGCGGTGGCGGCTCTGCTCCAGCTCCAGGCTCCGCAGCTCCTCGGCGCTCAGCCCCGCCGTGCCCACCACGAAGCGGCTCCAGACGTGGCCGTGAGGCGCCTGCCGCGCCGCCGCCATCCAGGTGCTGCGGATGATGCTGCGCCGCTCGCTGTACTTGGGGCCGCTCATCACCACCACGGCCACGAAGGCGCTGCCCTCAGGGCCGGCCGGGGGCGCGGCGCGGGCCCCCCGCCCGGGCTGGCTGTGCGGGAGCGCGGGGGGCGCGGGCAGCGGGCGCAGCCCCTCGGAGGTGCACTTGGCGAGGTAGAGCAGGACGGCGGCGCAGAGCGAGAGCCCGCCGAGCCCCAGCGCGGTGCGGTGCCGGCTCAGCCGCCGCAGCGCCTTCATGGCCGCGGGGCCCCTCACGGCCGGCGCCGCCGCCACGCCCGCCGCCTTTAGGCGGGAAGGGCGGTACGGCCAGCAGGAGGGGACAAGCTTTCTACGGGAGCGCTCACCGCGCGCCGCTGCCGCGCTGCGGTGGTTTCATGGCTCTGCCCGCGCTTTCCGCCTTCTCCGCGGGGAAGCGGCGGTTCCGTCCGTGTTCCTGCCGCGGCTCCGGCCGTTCTCGCACCGGGGGAAGGGGCGGGAGGAGGGGCGGAGGCCGCAGAGCCTGACGCGGCGGCTGCCATCTTTGAGTAGGGCATGTGAATCCGAAGAGGAGCCATCTTGGGTTTGGGCTCTGCGCCTTGGCCGTGCCCTGTTCATGGAATCATGGAATAGTTGGGATGGACTCAAAGCCCATGCAGTGCCACCCCCCGCCATGGGCAGGGATACCTTCTACTATCCCCGGCCGCTCAAAGCCTCAAGTCCAACCTGGCCTCGGGCAAGGGATTTGCATTAGATGCTATTTAAGGCCCTTTCCAACCCAAACCATTCCATAATTCAATGAAAACAGCCACACACACACACACAGCCAGGAAGTAGGACACCAACACGTTAACCACGGAGATAACGACGGGACCGCCAGGAAAACGCCCCTTTGCCCCTCTCTGCCGGAAATGGCGGCTGCCCTCACCTAAGATGGCCGCCGCGCCTTCCCGCGGCGCGGCGCAGTGACAAAACATCCGCCTCCTCCCCGCCTCCCTCCGCCCTGGCAACGCCGGGCTCCGTGAGGGCCGTGAGGGGCTCTCAGCGGCGGCCGGGCCCGGGCTGAGCCTCCCCGCGGCCGTCACGGCGCTCGGGGCAGTGTCCGCTCCCTGCCGGGCGGCTCCCGGTGAGTGCGGGCGGCTCCTCCCGCAGCCCCGCGGGGATCGTGGAGGGCTCCGAGGGGTTCTGAGGGCCCTGAGTGCTCCGAGGGGTTCTGAGGGCCCCGAGTGCTCCGAGGGGTTTGGGGGGTTTTGAGGGTTCTGAGGGGTTTGGGGGATTTTGAGGGTTCTGAGGGGTTTGGGGGGGTTTGAGGGATTCTGGGGGCTCTGAGGGCTCTGAGGGGATTGGGTTCCTTGGCGCTCTCTCTGGTAGATTTCGGATTATTTTTGTCCCTGGAATGGGGTGGGATGGCCCCTGGGGGTCACTTCCAGGCAGGACACTTGGATTTTGTGGCTCTGTGACAGAATTTGGGATTATTTTTCTCCCTGGAATGGGTCGGGATGGTCCCTGGGGGTCACTTCCAGGGTAGGACACTCGGATTTTGTGGCTCTGTGACAGGATTTGGGATTATTTTTTCCCTGGAATTGGGTGGGATGACCCCTGTGGGTCACTTCCAGAGCAGGACACTCGGATTTTGTGGCTCTGTGACAGGATTTGGGATTATTTTTCTCCCTGGAATTGGGTGGGATGGTCCCTGTGGGTCACTTCCAGAGCAGGACACTCGGATTTTGTGTGACAGCTCCTCCCCGCCGCTGTTCCCTGGGTGTTTCCTCTTTCTCTTGGATCTGCCCCTATTAATTCCATATATTTATTATTTAATAGGCTTTTTTAATGTCTGGCATCAAAAATTCCTCTATTTTTGTGTAGGTTTCTCTAAATTTGTTCTTGTGTGTATATATACAGGCATATATATACACACTTGTATATATATATATACATATGTACTAAAGTATACATATAAACATGTATGTATATGTATGTATATGAATAAGTTATGTACCTATATGTATATAAATAAGTTGTGTACCTATATTTATATGTATATAAATAACTTGTGTACATCTATTTATGTGTATATAAATAAGTTAATAAGCATATATAATGTGCTTATTAACTTATTTATATATTTTATGTATATATAAATAAGTTAATAAATAAGCACATATAATTATATGTAAATAAGTAAGTTATGAATACTTTGTATAGATTATTTTAATTTTTATATGTTCATTAATGACCTCTTGCTTCAAAGTTTAGCTTGTTTTTCCTCTTCTTTTCCTTTTGGATCCTTTAGCCTACAGTGACCTTTTGCTTCCAAGTTGAATTTTTTTTTTTCCTTTTAGATCCTTTAACCCACAGTGACCTTTTGCTTCAGAGTTTAATTGGTTTTTTATCTTTTTTCCTTTTAGCTCCCACAGTGATTTCAACAGCAGATAAATAATAAAAAAGGAAAAAAAAAAAATAAAGGTCCAAAATGATGTCAAGACAAGCTTTCCTGTGCAGCTTGGGCTCTCTGTACCTCTCCCTCCTGCTCATCTTCCTCCTGATGGACGTTTATGCCAGGCCTGCCAACCACTCCGTGCTGAAGGACAGGGCAGGGGAGGGCAGGGAGGAGAACGAGATCCTGCCCCCCGACCACCTGAACGGCGTCAAGATGGAGCTGGACGGGCACCTGAACAAGGAGTTCCACCAGGAGGTGTTCCTGGGCAAGGAGCGCGAGGACTTCGAGGAGGACTCGCAGCCCCGCAGGAACAGGAGGAAGCTCGTGGGCATCTTCTCCAAGTGAGTCCTGGGGGTGCCAGTTGGTCTTTGGCTGGGTCTGCATTGAAGGCGTTGGTTCATTTTGGGCTCAGGTGTTTATTATTTTTGGTCACTGAAACAGTCTCAGTGTCAGTTGGTCTTTGGCTGGGTCTGCATTGAAGGTGTTGGAGGTGCTGGTTCATTTCGGGCTCAGGTGTTTATTATTTTTTGTCACTGAAACAGTCTCAGTGTCAGTTGGTCTTTGGCTGGGTCTGGATTGAAGGTGTTGAGTGATGGTTCATTTTGGGCTCAGGTGTTTATTATTTTTTATCAGTGGAACAGTTTCAGTGTCAGTTGTTGGTTTGGCTGGGTTTGGATTGAAGGTGCTGGTTCATTTTGGGCTCAGGTGTTTATTATTTTCTATCAGTGAAACAGCCTCACAGTGTCAGTTGGTCTTTGGCTGGGTCTGGATTGAAGGTGCTGGTTCATTTTGGGCTCAGGTGTTTATTATTTTTTGTCACTGAAACAGTCTCAGAGCAGTGAGTTCTGTACTTTTCATTAGAAGGCATAAAAAGGCCAGAAGTCTCCTGCTACCAGGCCTTTGAAGACTAGACTATCCAGTTAAGAGCTGACACCTGGATTGTTTCCCCTTCTAACCCAGTGACTGATCCCTGGAAGCTGCAACGTGGATTTTTCTGCCCAGTTACAAAATGCCACCCAAACCCAAGAAGAAGAAACCCAGGACAACACCCTGTGTCCTCCTTCCCAACACACTAAAAATCCCAAACCCTAAATTTCTCCCCTACTCCACTCTCTGTAATCCATTTCACACTTTTGTGGATTCTGGCCTATCTTCAAGTTTAGCAAACTTTCTCCATGAATGAGGGGCAAAGTCAGAGCTGCCCTGGGGGTCACCCAGAGCCATTCCATTCCAGGATAGTTACTGAATGCTAAAAAGATTATAAAATATAAAAGAAAAACATAAAAAAAATAAATATAAAATATAAAGATAAATTATATATAAATAAAAGAAATGAAAATCAATAGAAATAAATGTAAAATAAATAAAAATGACAAATAAAATAATGAAAACTGGTGGCTCTTTCCAGAGTCCTGACACAGCTTGGCCTGAATTGGCCAAAGAGTGAAAACTCCTCCCAGCAGAAGCCAGTGAAACAATCTGCAAACACATTCCAGACAAGCACAACACAGAAAAAGCAAATGACATAAGAATTGTTTTCCTTTTCCCTGAGGCCTCTCAGCTCCCCAGGAGAAAAATCCTGGGTGAAGGGATTTTTTCAGAGGATGTGAATGCCACAAGTGAGAAAAAACAGGAAAAAAAAAAAAAAACCAAACCCAAAAATTGGGAATTTTGGTTGGTTTGAAGTTGGAAATTTTAACAAAATTGAAAATTTGAATTCATGTTTAAAAATCTGGAATTGAAATTGGGGATTTTAATAGTTGCAAATTGGAAATTGGAATGAATGTTTTTTTTTTAAATTGGGGATTTTGATTAATATGTTCAACATTTGGAGTTTTAAATATTTCAAATTTGGGAATTCGAATTAATGCTGTCAAAATCAAGAGTTTTAATTCCTATTTAAAAATTGGGAGTTTTAATACTTCAAAACTGGAAATTTTAGAAAATAGAAAGATAATATTTTCCATTAATGGCTTTTTTAAAAAAGTTAATTAATTTCTTTACTGGGTGGAAAAAGATGAAGTTTTATTTTAAGACATTCAAGCATTTTCTTGAATAAAATTCCCATTTTTTTGGGTTTTGTTTCAGCACTTTCAGACAGCAGGTGGCAGAATTGGCTTTATTTGCATTTTTTAATGAAAACACCTCCAATTAATACCACAAGGGGGATAAACTTTCAAAGTTTTATTGGTGCCAACTTTGCCTTGAATAAATAAAATTCATTAAAGCAATTATTAAAGAAATAATAAATAAATGATAAAAGCATCTCCCTGGTGGAAGCTGTGATCTTGAAACTCCCTAAATCTGCATTTTTTTGGGGTTGTTTGTCTCTTTTTTCACATTTAGTTGACATTTCAAGGCAGATCACATCTTGAATAATTGAAGTTTCAATCAAAACAACTCAGTGATGCCAGCAGATAAAGGCCAGAGTCAAAGTGGTTTTTCTTTGACTTTTGAAAAAAGTGGTTTTGAGGTGCTTTAAATAGAATTGGAAAGGGTAAGAAAATAAAATCTGATTTTGAGTGACATTTTGAATTACAAAGAGTGGGTTGGGGATGCTTTAAATAGAATTGAAAAGGGTAGCAAAATAAAATCTGATTTTTTTTAGTGATATTTGAAATATTTATTTCATGCTCAAAAAAAAACCCCTTCAAAGTGGCAGAAATTTGGATTTATTTTGGGTTTTGAACTGTAATTTTTAAATTAATTTTGAGAATTGATCAGATTGGATTTTCCTGATCATTTTAATCAGGAAAAATGGAATTCTGCAGCTCTGAATCCAAGGAATTCCAGAAAACTCATGGAGAACAAATGGATGTGCAGTGTTGAAATGTGTAAAAAAATAAAAATTCAATTAAATTTGAAAAAAAAGGGCTTGGAAAGAGAAATTGAGAGAGAATTCAAGGTCTGGAAGAAAATTCTTCCAATTCTGAATTTGGAATGACCCAAAATTCCCTCAGGAATGATTAGTGGGAAAAAATTCCCTCAAAAACACCTTTTAATTCCAGGAAAAAATATTATTCACTGAGTAATAACCTAAATCTTGCTAAATTAAATTAAATTAATTAAGTTATTTACTTTAATTCTGAACTAAAGGCTGATCTGCCACTTATTTCTCACAGAGAGTCAAAAATATTCATTTTCCTGTGAATTTTTGCTGAATAAAACAATTTATAAACCAAAAACCAACCAGATCTTTCTGTGCTGAACTCCAAATTGAAATCC